GGGGGGGAGACTTTTGTTCGTTTTTTGGGTTTGCCGGGTTGTATTCTCTTCTTTGCCATTTGCCACTGTTCATGGATCATGCAGCTTCAGGAAGGCATACGGCTTCCTATTCGATGAGGTTCTTCCTGCAGAGAAGGAGGTGAGGAAGAAGGGATGGTGGCTTTTTTTTGCAGGGGTAATTGCGCAAAGAAATGAGTAACGAGTTGTAAAACGTTTCGTGACTTCGTTATCTGTCTTCTTCTTCTTCTTCTTCTTTTTTTTTGGGGGAGAAAAAGCTTGGACGTTTGATTCAAAACAGGACACCGGAGGCCGGGAGTTCCGTTTCACAAACAACCCGGAAAACTGGGGCCAATTCCTTTGGCTTTTGTGTAGTGGTGTTTATGTTCCACCGCAACTCTCTTCTCATGTTGCATCTCAGAACTGCTGGATTGTGTCGTCACCGTCACCATGCGAACGTCGTCGTGGGGCCCAAGCTGTGACCTCTCAAGCTCATTTTCCTGAGCTGAATGATCTGAGCGGTTTTTTTTTTTTGTTGTTGTTGTTGCATGTGCTGCTGATTGTGCGGGGCCCTAAGGCTCCGCGTGGGCTGGTAAAAAGGCTGCGGTCAGGTAGAAAGGGGCGGGTAGGCCCGAAGTCGGGGCCCGGACTGGGCTGGCTACCTGATGCGATAGGGACCAGGCTGTTTAGGCAGTCCCCACAGGGCAAGGCAGACCCCGGCCTGAAGATTCAAAAGAGAGGCTGAGGCAGGGCAGTGTAGACCCCGGCCTGAAGAGTCAAAAGAGAGGCTGGGGCAGGGCAGAGCACATTTGGCCAGGGCACTTGCTGGCCGGAGGGCTGGCAGTTGAGGCGCAAGCAGCATAGTGGCTCTGCACACTGTTGGAGCAATGCGGGCAGTGCGCTGGCAGGCAGAGCTACTTGGAGCGAAGTGTGCGCTGACCGGGCTATACCACCGATGGGGGTCATGTGCTGCTTGGAGCGAAGTGTGCTGTGATTGCCAGCGTCTGTGTGGTGTTGTGTGTGGTGTGCATTAAGTGTGGACACTACAGCCTTGCAGGGGCGGGGTGGATATCACGGCCGGTATGGTTCAGCTTTTGAACACCGTGTCCTGTCCTGGCTGTAGTGGTTACGATACTTGGCTCTTCTTGAAGCCGAGGTCACGGATTCGAGTCCGTGCTTGCGAGGAGGAGGGGGCTGAGGCCCAGAGGTACTGATCCAGTGACACAAGCAGAGCCGGTGCCATAGCGCTTTGAGAGGGAGAGAGAGTGGCAAGGTGGGAAGTGGTTGTCGGGATGCGAGGAAGTCGGCTGTGGGAAAAATGTGTATGCTTACCCGGTGACTGGCGTGGGATCTCTAGCCGTTCGGTCATTGGTGAGAGAGGAGAGAGCTCATGGAACACTGGATGATAGGCTAGACTACCGTCTTCACCCGAATAGAACACCTGGTAATTATTGCCGTATATGGGCTGAAAGTTGTGTCAAACACAGCTATAATGACCGGGCGTTCTATTCGGGTGAAGACGGTAGGAAGCGGTGTTGGCACGGGCATACCTGAGCTGAGGGCTACTACTCTTGTTGTTGTATCGGTTTGAGTGGAGGCGAGAGAAGTGGCCCTTTTGCTATGAAAAGAGACCTCAGTGTTCTTTGTATTCTTGCATTGGTGTGATCACGGGATTCACGGCCTTGTGTCAATCCGGCTTTCAGTTCGGTCAACGCGTGTTTGCATTTCAACGCGTTAATTTGTGTTGGTCAGATATTTTGCGCTCTCACAGGTGGGTTCGTGTCGCAAGTGAGAGAAATTAACGTCCGACGACTCTCAGTCCCGCGCGCTCGCGGCAATTCCCGCACACTTTGCTATAACCAGCATGCAACTGGCACTGCTCCATTGCCTGGTCACACACTTTTTTTTTTTTTTTTTTTTAAACTATGGATTGCATAAAGGTCAGGTTGCTATGGTCATGTTGGTTCTACTCATGAAGGCATTCCTTGCATAAAGGTAAATGTTGCTAACTATGGAGGCAACACAGTTTCCTTGCTGGATTAGTTGATTCATTTCAAGCATGCTTCGTCTTCTACAATAGAGCTAAAGTTGCTGCGATTTTGGACCTACTCATCTGGGTGGAACAGGGGATGTTGTGCTGAACATTCACAACACACACACACACACACACACACACACACACACACACACTCACACACACAGAGGTCTGAAATTGCCCATGGGGCTTCGTCGGGAGCTTCCACAGTAGTTCTGGTGGATCCATAACTACTGCACGCTTGGATTGAGAAATGGTCCAAAATTTTAGGAAAAAGAATAAACAAACAATCAGTTCTTCCCTCCTTAACTCTTTCTTCATTCACCCTTGAAAGGGGGGGGTATGGCCCCTATACCCTGATTATGCGCTGGAGGATTCGAACTTCTGATCTGCTCACTAACAGCAATTTGTGTGTAGCCTTCCGCCCCCGCACGGGTACACTGGCGGTAGCTGCTGTGATCATTTTTCATGGAACTTTTAATTTTAATGATACATATAATATATTGTTAAGGGGCCGGGGACCAGGGGAGGCGGTGGGGAGGGGAGCGACCCTTTATACCTGGTCATCTACTCTGTTTCTGTTTGGCGCTTTCCTCTTATGTCTTTCTGGGCAGCAAAGGGCCATTCGTCACATGGCATGTGTCAATTTTTTTTCGTTGTGTGTTCAGAGCTTGAAACAAGAACTCACAAAGGCAAAACGCGAAGGAGGAGATGCCAAGGAGCTTGAAGACAATTTTTCCCGCGTGGTAAGTGCTTCTTCTTCTTCTTTTTTTTTAAAAAAAAAAAAGGGCTACGGCCTTTGAGATATCATATTTTCAAGCTGACCGGCCCCAGGTAATTCAGAATGATTTGATTCTGTTCATCTGATTGCGCATCTGGATTCGGACGCGGAACTCGGGTCTGTATTTTTCAACAGTTTGTCGAGGGTGCGAACTGAGCTAGGCCAGTTAAGTAGTAAGTGGTTCTTCTTTGCCACTGAACTTTTTGGATTTTAAGTTTTTAACAAATTTGAAAGCATCTCACAGTTTTCAGTACCTGTCGCTGTCCCATGGTCCCATGGTCCCAGTGTACCAATAGTCCCAGCTGTACCTAAGTCTAGGAGGGTTCAATAGTAGGGTAGGAGGCCGAGTGCAGTCCAGTCCAGTTGGGGGGGCGGTCTGGTGGGCTAGAAGGCCAAGTCCATTCCAGTCCAGTCTTAAATAAGTGGGCGTCCCAGGGTGCCGGGAAAGTTGGTGAGCATTAGGGAAATTGCAGAGGCTGACAGGCAACTGTGTACCAGGCCGGCATGTCCAAGGACAGGAAAGCTGCTGAATGGTTGTGTACAAAGCACAGGAGGAGTTGCTGTCAATATGCAATTCCACTCTGGCATAATACAGAAGTGCCATTGCACAGTGGAGTGCCAAAGCGACGAGTGAGGCAAGAAATGAGGCTGAGTGCGGCAGTAGTCATCCGGCTCTCGGCACCATGGCCTAGCATAAGGTAGCGAGGGAGAAGAAATTCAGACAGAGAGAGAGGGAGGCCTGAGGGCACACACACACACACACACGCACACACACACACACACACACAGAGAGAGAGAGAGAGAGAGAGAGAGAGTTAGAGTTCATCCTTGGTGGTTGTTTCCTGGCAGCCGTGGACTCTCAGTGAGGCCTGAGGGTACACAGAGACACACGCACACACACACGCACAGAGAGAGAGAGAGAGAGTTCATCCTTGGTGGTTGTTTCCTGGCAGCCGTGGACGCCCAGTGAGGCCTGAGGGTACACGGAGACACTCACACGCACACACACACACACACACACACACACACAGAGAGAGAGAGAGAGAGAGAGAGAGAGAGAGTTCATCCTTGGTGGTTATTTGCTGGCGGCTGTAGACGCCCAGTGAGGCCTGAGGGTACAGAGAGAGAGACACACACACACACACACACACACACACACACACACACACACACACGCACACACACACAGAGAGAGATCATCCTTGATGGTTGTTTGCTGGCGGCGGTAGCCGCCCAGCTCTGCATGTACAAACTTGTTGTATAAGATTTTGGTCCCCATAATTCCCGAACAACTTGTGAGTTCGTGTTATCAATTGTTTTGTCTTGGGTTTTCATCCCTGGGGTGCTGAAATGTGATTCGTTGCGACCTGAGATGTGGGTGCTGGGGGGTGCTGCAGAGGGGTTGGGAGGGCCCAGCAGGGCAGTTTCTGCCCTGTTTGATTCACGATGTGTAACTCACTGTGTGCAATGTGCATAACCTCCCCCAACCGGCACTAGGAAAAAAGACGACAAAAGAAAAATAAATAAAAATTCGACCGAATACGGATGGCATACACGCTTGAGAGGGGCGTAGGAGGGGCGCGTACAACGCGTCGTGCCCGTGCAACGCGTACAAAGTGGCGCACTGACAGGCAGACGCCAGGTGTTGCCTCTCATTGCTGTGTTCATGAAACTTCCCTTCTCGATGGTGCATTGTTTGATGGCACGAGGTGGCAGTTGACCTTGCCGTTCGATTGTTGCTTTGGACACAGGAGCGGTTGTTGAAGGAGGACCAGAAGAATCAAGCGAAAAAGGATAGAGAGAGAGAAATCCGGAAAAAGCAGTTGGATCAAATCAAGCAAGGAAAGAAGCCATTCTTCCTTAAGAAATGTAAGTTGTAGCAGTCTTCTCTCTGCGATCTCCGTCATGCTCATTTTTTATCACCCCAAGCAACAAATCCGCATTCTAGGCCAAAGCCCTTCTGCTATGTCCAAGGCTGTCGAAGGAGATGTTGCCAAACCACCACTTCCGATGCACTTCCCCCCCCCTCCCTCCCCCCCCAAGAAAACAAAGAAGAACAGCCAACCATTTATCGTCAGCATCACAGCCCGTGCATATACTGGACGTTGATCTTTGCAATGTAAGATTGAAAACAAAGCGGGGGGGGTGGAGGGGTGGGGGGTTGGGAGGGGGGGGAGGTGGGAAGGGCATCAGAAGTGGTGCTTTGAACTGCTTTCTGAATAGGGTTCTCCCAGCAGCAATATATCTTTTCATCCCCCCTATTGTCAGTGGTCTAATCAAGAAAACAGTTCAAAACACAGAATATTCATCATGCATGCAGTTGCTTGGTGTGGCTCTCTGATGAATATTATTTAAGAAATTAAGAATTATTATCATTATATTTACTAACTAGTAAGTGAGTAACTGCTAATTTTATAATTCTTTTTTACTACTAGCTTACTGGTTTCTATTGGTTGTTGCATTTTGCAGCTGAGGAGAAGAAGATTGAGTTGATGGGGAAATTTGAGGAGCTCAAGGTGAGAAATCACCCAGCGCTAAGCTCACTGTCTGTCTTCCTTCTGAAGAATATGAACACAAATGTGCCCTCATCGTGACTGTCAGATCCAACAAAATGTATCAATAGCAATCTATAGCAATCTATAGCAATTTAATATCTATATGAATCTTTAGGAATCTATAGGGAACTATTTGGATTGCTTTTGCTTATGTCATTTGTGATTGGGGTGTCTTGTGTTCGGGAGAGGATCCGAACATACGCATACTAGTAGTAGTTTTTACCAAAATGTATGTAACTGCAATTACGGTCGGACCTAGACGAATCTGACCGCGATGGCAGTTAGATACATTTTGGTAAACTTAGTGGAAAAAATCGTAGCGCTAGTATGCCCTCAAGGCCTCGGAGTCCCTGAGGGCCCAAACCGGTCCCGACAGCAACTTGTCACAAGACTCACAAGGTATTTGCTATCGCCATACTTTACCAGAGTTTAACCTCGAACTGCGTTTTCTTTTCTTTTTCTTTTCTTTTTTCTGTTGCCCCCCCCGCCCCCCCATCTTTCCCAATAAACAGGGCCTTTGTGGTTCTGGCTCCATATCCATTCTAGGGAGCATCAGTTCGGTTCCTTTTCCCCCAGCAAGTCATAAAATACAATAGTTCACACTCTCACGCCTTCGTCTGTCTGGCCGAACGACCCCTGAACGGCATCGATTACTCCAATTGTGTGGAGGATTGACTGTCAGCTTGCCCCCCCTATAGAAATCCTCTCAGCTACTGTTAAGCCTTGCTGCCATATTGAGTCGAACTGCTTTTGCCTTGTTTGTTCAACTTTTTTGTTTTTTTGTTTTTTTGTTTTTCGTTTGTTGTTTGCTCCTAATATTAATATTTTGGAGGCGCGGGGCTACCGGACCCCACAATGGCTGGTGGCATCAGCCACAAAAGCAAAAAAAGAAATGCAGTGCTGGCGGTTTGGCAACGCTTGTGGCGCGCAGTGGTGAATCCGCCGGGCTTGGGTGTACTGTTGATTTTAAGCCGCCCTGGGCCTGGGTGAGTCCGCAAAGCTTCGTCCAACCTTTATTGGTAAATCATACTAAAATGCGGTGATGGCCTGGGCCCATAATGAACGAGGCAGGTCACTGTGCGGTAAGATTATTTTATGAGGATAAAAAAAAAAAAACAAAAAAAAAAACAGCCTCCTTCATGTACACTGTACACCGTTCAGCCACACAGCTGGGTGCTTGCTGGGTGCGAGACACAAGGCCTCGATAAGCCCTACTGGGCCCCTATTTGCAACAGTGTCGGCCTCCCCCCTGGCCTCCTTTATCAAATGCATCTGAGTCAGGTCCTGGGCGAGATACGCAGCATGGACCCAACTCAGGCTGAGGGCAGTTGGGCACGGGTAACTGTCACAGGCCTTGGGCTTGATTCGTTTGGTCTGGGGCTCAGCCTCTCTGAGCCTACCGGAAGCTTCTGGGCAGGGGCCCCGCGCAGCCAGGCTGCACGCAAGGCAGGCAGGCCATTTCCATTTAGGAAAGGGCCTACACACGCATTGGGCATTCGGGCACTGGCAGCATGTTTATTTCTGCAATTTCGTCCAGAAACATATTACCATAAAGAACGAGTCATTAACTCGTAGTGTGTGTACACACCCTGATTGATGCTTGCCACGGTCTCTCTTTCAGTGCTCTGATGGTGGTCTTGCTGCTGCTGCTTTGATGCAACTTGTGCTGCCAGGAGAAGGGCAACCTGGACGCGTACATCACGAAGAAGAGGAAGAAGAATGCTGCAAAAGATCGACGCTTCATGCCGTATCGTCGACCCGTTCAGAATGAGAGAAAGAGATAGTATTGTCACATTGTGCCTCAGCTTGTGTCACACTCTGCTCTTGATTGCGTTGCGTGAACTTGCGTCTTTTTCTGAAAGATTTCCGATCGAGTCTTTCTTCCAAAATGCCAGAATGTTAAGCTGCGAATCGTTTGTCAAAATTCAAACACGACCAAAAAAAAAGCAAAAAAGAGAAGAAGGGGCCACCAATTTGTCAGAAAAAGAAGAATTGCAGGATCAAGGGCTAGCTTCGTGGCATTTCCAGAGTTTGTCGAAAACATCGGGTAATGGTAGGGAAGAAGAAGTAGTCAACCTGTCGTTAGGAGCTGTTTTAACTTTTTCTTTTTTTTAAGGAAAAAAGAAAAAAAAAGAAAAAAAAGGGGACTGTACACTACAATCATTGAATGCAATTCTGATCACCAAATTGCTATGGATCAAATGTGTTGCGGATCAGTTAAAGATTGTTTGATTTCATTCATGATTCTGAAATTCTGAATGTCAGATGTCTACGGTTTTCTCTTTTTCAAGAAGAGTCAGTCATTGCTGGCTGCAGCGCTGGCCACAGCCAAGAGAAGGTGGCCGCCTGAGGACTGCAGACCCTCCATGTATATCTATTCAGCTCGCTCGCTTGCTCTCTCTCTCTCTCTCTCTCTCTCTCTCTCTCTCTCTCTCTCTCTCTCTCTCTCTCTCTCTCTCTCTCTCTCTCTCTGTCTCTCAGGCGGCTCTCTCTCTCTCTCACACACACACATACACACTCTCTCTCTCTCTGTCTGTGTCTCTCAGGTGTCTCTCTCTCTCTCTCTCTCTCACACACACACACACATACAAACAGGTGGTGGTTGGGGAATCTCTGCTTTTGCACCATTCGGTGTGAAGTTCCGCTCTGTGTGGGGCAACTTACTTCCTCGCTGCGTGGGGCAAAGAATTTGAGTGATGCTGCACAGTTTTCACCGTGCGGCGCAAAAGTAATTCATACTGTGCTGGCGCGAAAGCTTTTGTCACATGAGGAGCAAAAGGAAATCATGCCCTGGCATGAACAAGTGTGGGCTGTGGTGCAATTAGTTCTTCTTCACTGGGTGACGCAAAAGTAATTCATGCGGCAGCCTGCGACAGCCCAAGTTTGTTTTTGCGAAATGAAATCGTTTCTGCAGCACGAAGAAAAGAAAAATGGGTGCCGTTTTGCCGCTATGTGGTTCTCGGAGTCCCGTTCGCCCCAGATGCCCCCGTGCCACACATGTAGGGACTGACCCCTTTTGTCAGTGGGCTGAGTGGGGCTCAGCATACGGTGTCATCAACACCCACGAATGCAAGGGGGATGGAGCTGCAGGGATGTGCCCCGCGCTGCTGCACCCCACAGAGGGGATCCTCCCTGTATAAGGACCCCGGCTTTATCTTTAGGTGGCTTAACAAGTTGATGGTGTTGTGGGTTTCTTGGTGTTGCCTGCCAGTAATGGACACCCAGAATCACAGGGATGATCCTCTGTGTGGGTTTCTGGGTGTTGCTGCATTTCTGGGCGATTCTCCAAAACTCCTGTTCACTACTTCAACTCCCCAAAGTGCAGGCGACCCCAGCTCCACATGTTAGCAATGTTAAGGGAACGCTGCACACTCGATTTCCACCGCGTGCAGCTTCCCACTGATGGAATGGAGCCATCTGCAAACTGGGTAAGTTGAGGGGTACACTGCACACAAGCTGGGCGGTTCTTTTTTTTTTTTTTTTTCAAAAGGACGACGGCCTTGAGATATTATCATTGAGCTGACCGGCCCCAAGCAATTCATTAGTAGTTGGTTTTTACTCGTCGATCAAGTTCCATCATCTGGATTCGAACACAGGTCTGTATTTCAACAGTTCATGGGTGTACCCRCTGAGCTAGGCTCTTGGGTAAGCTGGGCGGTCCTGATATGGGTCCAGTTGCATTTATTCAGTGCAAGCCTATCTATGCACATTGCACACAGCCTGGGCGGTCGTAGGGAGAATTATGGGTTGACGTTGACCTCCACCCGTGCGAGCAATCCTAAGCTATCCTACGGTTATGGTTTACCGTTTACGCCTACCTAATTCGGCTCTGTGCGGGGAGCAATCCTAAGCACCACCCAAGTTCCTAACACCTGGCGTAGGCTGGAAAGAGAGACAACTTCGACAACCAGCCAGGAGGGACAAGCCGATTTTCTCAGTCCGCGAACCCTGAAGTATGCCACACAGGGCTTCGAAGGGAGTCGAACGGATGCTGTGGTGGGGAATCCACGACCTCCTGTGTACCACTTTCGTGCTCAACCAACCGAGCCGTAGGCCGCTTGGCCGTATTTCAAAAGTTTTTTTTTCCGCGTTCGTTTATTCATCGCTCTGCTTTTTTGTTAGTCTCTGTTCTTTGCAATCAGCATCGCGACGAACGTGAAATTGAAGGGCGGTGGTGTTGCTTGGCGGTGCTCCGTCGCTTCTCTGTTTTGTTCGTTATTCGTTGCCTGTGAGATCATATTTTTCGGCTTGCTGTGTGAATGTTGGGCCTCACTCCGCACTCTTGAAATGTGCAAAACGAGAGTGAACCTTCCCCTAGAACATGGACAGAGTTTGCGACTGTGTTAGATCATTGTCTGTGTCTGCAGCATGCAGGAAGGGAAGAGGTAGCCCATATCAATTATTTACAAAGCGCCCTGATGCCGTAGTCCATTAAATTGTTCCGTGCTCATAAAAAATAAAATAAACGGAATGACGTCACCACGCTCAATATACTTAGGCTAGGAAGAGGACAAACCGAGTTAAATGCTCACAATGTGGTGACGAGTTGCAAGCCTGTGTATGGGCACCATACACGAGCCACAGCCATCTGTCTGCATTTGCACGACTAGCAGCCACCCTGAGCAGAAGTGTGACTGATCAGCTTCCGCTTCCTGCATCTGACTCACCCACTTCTCATCCGCCTAGCCTTGATTCCTCCCCCGCTCCGACTGGCAATGATCCACCATCTCATCACTTTATGGAGCCCCCGGCTGGAGGTGATCTCTCATCAGAACGCATGCTATAGTCAATCGAGTCGATGCAGCTTGAGGAATGTGAATAGCGAAGACCACAATAACCCCCCTGCCGATGAACTTGCAGAATCAAACGATTTCATCATACTTCAGCAAGGGCACAGTACTTACTGTACCATAACTGTATGTCTCTTCGCTTACAATTGCAACCCCTATATTGTTTCCTTTCTGATTTTGGAGACATTGTTTGCTGGACAGAAGAAGAGCACCAGGTTGTCTGCCCAAAGGATGACAGTTCTGTGCCTGGCGTGAACATAAGAAGTCCTGTATGTGGCATTTACTGGTAGACGACTACAGCTCCAGCCTGCCCCATAGAATTATATGCCAGGTATGGACACAAATATTTGTGCGTACATCTTGCGTTGTCTATGTCATTTCAGTGCCCTTACCTTTGCGGATAATTCATGGACCCTATGGGACAACGGGGTAGGGTGCATGAAGTGGGAAATATTAACTCTTTCTATCACCAGGCGACAGTTGCCCCATCGCTCGTCACAATGCTTTCACACGACTTGGGCCATCCTTCTGTATCACCACCGATATTGCCTCCAGCACCTTCATCAACTGCGACTGTTGTCCCGACGCTTGCTATGGAGGCTTCCCACGATTTGGGGTGTCCTTCTCCAATCAGGGCCTTCGTTTCTTGCCCTCCAGGGGCATCACCGACGACAACGACTTCATCACACTTGATTAGCGGGGTTGGGGGAGAGAGCTGGCTGGGCTCACTAATTGAGAAGCTCTCAACATCCCCTTCCTGTCTCTCTCCCCCTTTTCGACTCCCTGCCCGTGAAGCTCAGAGAACGGGCTTTCTTTCACAATGTCTGCTTTCTCACCTTCCTCTTGTACTAACTGCTGAGCAGCCCTCCGGATCGATGCAGCGGTCTGTCATTCTTGCCTTTGCTGCTCAGCCTTTCACACGTGCCGGTGTGGGGTAGCATGATGGGAAGCGGAAGGCTCTCCCCTACCCCTCCCTCCTTTTTTGGTTCTGGATTGTGCTGCTATGGCTTACAGAAGGAAGGGGGGTGGAGGGTGTTTGGCGAGGAAGCTCATCCATCTGAGGCTTCCTTTGCTTCGATTACGTTTGTCAATGATTGGTTTTCAGATTACGTTTGATTGGTATCCAGCCGTTTTGGACGGAAGGGGCGCTTGGTTGGTTGTGCTTTCTCTTTGCCCGCCCCCCCGGTACATCGCTTCTCCATCTTATCTTGTCGGGTGGTGGCGGCCTGACATCCACTTTCCACATGATCCGCGTTCCCCACTGTGGGGGCGGATGGGGAGTATAGCCGTATGCTCATTGATGCCACACCCGTAGGTGATCTCGTGTGCTCTCCTATGCCATGGATCGTTTCCATCTCAGATACATGTGCCCTCCCTTCTGGCTTGTTCTGTGCTTAGTTGTGTCGTGGTAGGGTGCCATGTGTACTGCTCTATCTTGGTCATCATCACTTAGGGTTTGACTGGGCTTTTGGTCATCATCACTTAGGATTAGACTGGGCTTTTGCCTGTGCTCGACTTTCTATGATACATGCTCTGTCGCCTACTGGTCCTGTCCATTTAGGGTTTGACCACGTCCTGGCCTGTACTCGATATCCTTTGCCCTGCACCTCTTTCCCCCAATCTTCTGGCTTTGAAGGATTCAATCTTTGGTAGGTGACTGTGGTAGGGCCGTGTTTGTTTTTGCATGTTGTGGTCCTTCCCTCCTCAGGAAGCAATCAATGCCCCCTGCTCATGCTTCATTCGTGTTGTGTCCGGAAGCTGTCTCCACGGGAGCAGTGGCCGAGGCTCTTCCAGCCCTAATGGGAAGAGGCGTGTGTATGCGCTGTATTTCACTTGATAATTTGAGCCTTGGGCAACCTGTTGGGAACAAAAAAAAAAAAAAAAAAAAAAAAAAAAAAAAAAAAAAAAAAAAAAAAAAAAAAAAGAATCTCGCTTTGCATCTACTTCAACTTCTAATTTGCTGGATTGATTGATGTTGATGTTTTCTTTTACGTATGCATTATATGGTCGGTCTTGTGAAGGAGGTTCAAACTCGTATACATATTCTTCGATCTTTGACGCGGTCTAGAACACAAAGTAAGATAAGCGATTGATTACATAATTGAGCAAATTAGGAAAGAAAACGTATGCTCCTCATGGTTTCAGTAAGCTAGAGCAATCAGTGAATTCAATCCCACCTAACGGGCACCTCGGCGTACGATCACGCACTATTTGGTGTGGCTGGTCGTTAGTCAATCAAGAAGAGCATGTGCACTGACAAGCTTAACAATCTCCAGAGGGCAATCCGGTCGAACCTTCCACGCCCCCTGTACATGGCCAAGCAGCGTCCCATCCTTGTGTAAATCAGATTGATTCTACCACAGACAATGAAAAGCCCCCTCCAGAAGATGATGGTTGTGCCATGCCATTCTGTCCCTACAAAGGTACAGTTCAATTA